GCTATTTTCGCAAAGTTTGCCCAAAAACGGATAATACCTTGGTCAAAAGCGTTCTGTTCTGCGCAACGCTTTACGTCACCCTCTTATAAGCCATGTCTGCCCACATGGTTACCTTTTCGAAAAAAAAAGAAACAAGCGATTGCACTCTAAATAAGTTTCATCGAATTTCTCAAATTTTGCCAGACCAAAAACGGATAATACTTTCCTAAACCGTGCTTTTTTGCAGAACGGTGTACATTTCCCTCCCGCGACAAACTTGCTCAAACGCTCGCCTTTTCGAGAGAAAAGTGAGATTTTTACAGAGCGAATTACATTTTGAAGAGATTTTTTTAAACTGTGCATATGTACTCACACCGCTCAGTTTTGTGTGATGTTCCGGTCTACCTTCGCACGTAAAACCTTATACAGCGTACATTGTGCGAAATAAATGTGTTGGGTGGAACTAGCACTGCTTTTTTTTCGAAAGTTGCGTGATTGGAATGTATGCGCTCTCGATCACGTAGTGAAGTAAAGAGTTATACAGGTGATTAAGATAAATAGCAAGAAATTGTGGGAACAGTGCCAGGGTAGAAGTTTAATAAGCTTTCATCATACATGTGCATTGTAGAACACTTCAAGCCAAAAATGCTTTTGTCACGATCAGTTCTCGCACATTTTAATAAATTTGGCGAGTGGTTGCATTTTCCACACAGCAATTACAATTTTCTCGTTGTCGCCAACCTAGCGCTCTCGACCTCTGCTCCCTCTCCTCGTCATCATAACAATCCCTCCTGTCAAAGTTCCGGGGGAATTATGGACTGGTATCCATTTAATACAACGTTATAGCCATACATGGAAGCGGACCAATCTAGCCGCCGCATTTTTTCGCAGCAGAAAGGATCAATGCAAGTTTTCAGGATAACGAAGCATTCAGCTGCTTGTCAGTCGCTTTAATGTAAAATTTCATGTTTCGAAATTCGATTAATTGTAACGAAATTTCTGCATCCAAATTTCTTTGTTGCAAAGCATCTTAGGTTTGAAAACACAGATTTTGCAAGTTTATAATGTTGAGTAACGAAAGAAAGAACAACAGTAAAACCTAGAGGACAGAGGAACTTTGAGATCAACCACAAAAAAGGATGACCATCGCCTCTGATGTCTTTGGCACGGACAACTGTTACCTCGCGGGCAAGAACTCTTTCTCTTTTCGAAGATTGCGTTTGCTAGCAACGAGTGTTCGAGGAGAAATCGTTATTAGCACAGTAAGAAATTGTATATTACACTCAACCCGGAAAAAAATTTGAAATTTGCTGGCACTGACTGATCTTTTCTGACTCGCTTGAACAGCTTCATCGCCCATTCTTCATCGTTGTCATCTCCTCCTGCATTACTTATCGCTAAAAAGTTCTAGACAAACTCTTGTCTACTCACTTCCATAGCTTCTACTGGCTTTCTCTTGTATTTGGAGGGAAAAGGAGATTAAAAACATTAGCTAGATTTTCCATTGCCCTAGTAAACATTGAATCATATAGTTTCTGCGCAAACTTGTTTCCGAGAACTTGTAGGCAGCACAATATTATCATGAACAACAAAAGAAAATACTCCACACAGGTTTAGATGGGACTCCTTGTCTCGGGTACAAATTGTTTCGGTACCAAGTGAATGGATTCTCAGTTTTCTAGCGATACTAAATAGCTTCTTCTTCTCGTACCAGGATATCTTATGAGACAACAACATTTAGACATTTAATCGAACCGCTATTTACTCGCATAAGTTGAAGATTGTTTACACGTAGTCCCTACTCTATAAACTTCCCGAAGAAGCAATACACAAATGGGCCTTACAGCTATGTTATAACTTCAGTCCTTTATACCTTTCTTGAACTCAATGAAATTTCTATAATGTTAGCTCATATTTATTAGAAAGGGTTTAGTAAATGAGAAGACTAATTTCTCGATTTTTCTCCTGTCACGCAATCCTTTCATCTTTGTGTGTAGAGTAACCAGGACGCGGCGAAAATAAGGTGCTTCATAGAACGAGTCAAACAGCATACCTTATAGACGCTACTGTAAGGATTGAGCTAGTGTGTTTACACAAAACTCATTCTAACACTAGATAATATGCCGCGCACTTAAGCAGAGCTCTCAGAAAAGCGCGACTAGAAGGTGAAAACCATTTTTTTAACCTCATCGAGGGTCCCAGGTAACATACTGAATGGCTTCAACCTAGATCGTCAGTACGTAGCAAAACAGCGATCGCCCATCGTAGGATTAACTTTCAGATAGCCCAGCGAACACTGATGCAATTGATATAAATTAAGTTTGATTTGCACTGTAAGTTGTGCATTAGTTACCAGAATTTTTTAGCACAAGCACACAATCTAATACAGATTTAGGAAACTATTCCCATGTCGCTATGCAAGTTGATCGAGTAAGCAATCTGCTCCGAACAACAACATTTTTTATGGAAATTTAAGTTCTAGCTAACCTTGTAGGATACCTTAGATCTTGAACGGGAGTGAAAAATGATAATACTTTCAGTACGAGCATTTCGAATCTATCCAAGCCAAGTATGCAGTGCATTCTATTAGAATTTGTCAATTACAAAATGACTCATTTTGCATTACAAAATTGCTTCAACCCATCGAACTTGAGTTTCAAAGTATGAGTTTGGTTATCCTCCAAGGAGCAGATCATCAGTGCAAAAAGGGCGATACGCGATTCAGGGGAAGAAAACTACGAAGATTGAATAATTGCGTCAACTTCAATGTAACCTACTCATAGCTCGAAGTTGACCATGCTTCTCATTTAGGATGTGGTCCAAACATCATAAATAATTCTCGGTATTCTCCTGAAATTAAACCTCATGAAACTTCAGCGTCCATAAACGGTGGTGTCTTCTCCGAACATTGGAACTCAAAAAACTTGTTCAAAAAATTCGCCCCAACGCGTGGATCATATAGACAAGAAAGGAATGATCGAATCTTGCCGTAATCTCATGGAGAAAGAGAGTGTGGAAAGGGGTGTGTGGCGATATACTTCTCGGAAAAAATTCGCAGTACATCTGATATTTTGGGAAGTCACGTTAAATGACGCGTATAAAAACTTACTGTATTGTCCATAAGAGTCACGTCTAAAAATAATATCTTTGTATAATTTCTCTGTGTAATCAAAACAATGAGGATATTAAAGCTTCGACCGAAATCAGAACAATGAGATGCTTGTCTTCGAAGAGCAAAAACCGGAACTTGACTTATTTCCTTTAAGTTCGTGAAACTTACTATCGCTCGGATCACTATTACGTTGTTGTTGCATCATTCTCTCATCAAAGTACGTCAAAACTGCAACGAATATTTATCCTATAGGCTGTTATAGAAGATTTTGGGTATTATTCAAAACAGGAAGTTGTACTCTAAAAGTTGTTGAAAATTTACACCAACTATTTGGTTCGAGAGAAGTTTGAAGCTAAAACCTAGAAAGATGCCGGAAAGCAGAGAAAAAAGTAAGAGTTTCTTTCAGAAAAAAATGCTATAGATTTCTTATTAGCTCATGCATAAGCAATGTATAGAATTGCTTATAAATAGTTGCTCTATCTTTCCTGGGGCTCTAAGCCGCGAAGACAAAAGTTTCCATACTTTCGCAAAAGCAATGCTTAGTTTTTACATGGTTGATTGTATACTACAGGCCTTTAAAAGTACAACTGTAAGTTTTTAGTCTTACACAAGAGCTAGTTTGCAGATACAAGATTGGCCGAAGACCAAAACCGAGATAAGAACATTTAGATTTTTAAAAATTGTCGAAGAGTGCAGCTTTTGATTAGATCTGAAATTCACAGTAACACTTTTAAAAATTTGTAGCACTGATTTCTTTTCGAGATTTCGACTTCATCATTCAGCCTCAAACTTCGCGGGGATCAAAGTTGAGAAATTTTGGACATCATTTTGCAGAGCATGCTGCTCTAACGGATGCCGAAATCTATCTAGAATAAAAGAAAAGATTTGTTGCTGTCTTACAAACTTCAGTGCAAAGATCATGTATTAAGTAATTCTAAGTGCTTGCATTTAAAGGTTATTTTGGATTGAAATATAATTACAAAGACGGTTTCCTTCTACGTCCATATGCTCCCTCGCTTGTTACATACGCTATTTGGTTAGTAGAGTTAGCGATGAGCTACAATCAATATATTAGGTTGTCTCATAAGTTTTTTCAATTTTGACTCTGTGCCGCAATAAGTCGCACGCTTCTGAGTCCTGATTAGAATCTCAGGATACCGTTCGACATAGCAAAGCAAGCTGTACAAGTTGCCGTGTACGTGTTCGCATCAGCTTCACCAAATACGAACTAGAAGCCGAAATTTGAGAACTTTCGGATGCTTGAAAATCGAAAATTTATATCTTTGTTCAAAGAAGACTTACCTGATCCTAAACTTGCTCACGCATATACATTTCACATGAGACATTCATATGCGACGTGCTGTGTTAGTTTTTGTGCTGAAAACCAAGACAAAAACTCCAAAGTTCCAAAAAAGCGATGCTGCGCTGTTGTCACATAGGCAAACTTACCCTACAGGCCTTCAGAAATGCATCGGTAAATTTTCAGCTTCCTGAAAGCGCCAGCTCCTAAGAAACATTGAATTTAACACGAAATCCGCTAACAAAAAGAGCCATCTTGCTTGTACGTGTGAATTTTATCATACTTAATACGGAAACACCAAGCATACGTGCAGCACACATATGTCCATACATACATTAGAAGATAACTGCCGCCATGCGGTTGACTTTCTGCATGATTACTGCACTAATTTTGGCGGCACTATGTTAAGATACTCCACCTCGGACAATAGCTATAAATTTATGTAAGCGAGAGAATTTGTAATTTACTGCTTAGGTATTTTAATCCCTGAACTTGACCAAATGTAGACATCAGCATAAGACAGATGATAGGATGCAGGAATATTAGAAGCGCTTAGCTGGAGGCTTTATTCAAACCGTTGAAACCGTAAAAATTGTTGGAAGCAATGATTTACGGAATCATTTGGCCTGCAACGACTTCGGATTCAATTAGACAATGGTTTTCTCCACGGATCATGCGGAAGAATCCTAAAAAACAAATTAAGTTTGATTAGTGAAAAATCAGCACACATGTAATCATACAGGCCAAACGTACCATTTTCTCCCCATCTAGGGCCCCATGAATTGGAAATCAGCCAATACTTCACATCTCTACCATTCATATTTTCTACACCCCAACCAATGATTTTGACAGTATGTGGGGCCAGCCTTTTGTTTTTGCGATCCAGGACTCTCTGAAACGAAATAAAGCGTTGTCGCAAAGACAAAAATTCAAGCTCGCATGCAGAAAAACGCGCCCAGCTAGTTTATAATGGGATTAGTGAAATAGTGTTTTATACATTCTAACATGTCATTTTCGACTTCGAAATTTAGTTGCAGGAATACATTGAAATGCAGAACGTACTTTGTATATTCCGCTTTTGTAGATACCGAAATCTGCATACACTATGAAGGTAGCTTGAACAGGTCCCCTTGTCATTATCTCCTTCTGGATCTCTTCTTCATCCGTATCAACTTCATAACCGAATCCTAGGTTTGAAAGTGTTTGAAAAAATACAACAAGTAATATCAAATTAAGAAATGAGAAGATGGTACTTAGAGATTTCACTACAATCAATATATTAAGATTCATAGATTTTATTAGGTTGGTCCGAAAGTTCTTGCGCATCACTTTCAAAAAATCATAACTTCCTTGCCACTCGATGGATTTCGCTAAAATTGAATAATTTCGAAAGAGGAATCCATGCTCTTTACAACTGTGCCTTCAGCATGAATTACTTTGAAAAACTTCGAGGGTTACAAGCAATTGGAAGAAATCAGTCAAAATTGGCTTTTTTCGAGCTGGGTCACGAAAAATTCTGGAAGTATTTTTATATGATGGAGAAAATTATGCTCATTACAACGGCGTTTTTTTCGTGAGTTGAAACGAAAAAGATCGAGAGTTAAAAGCAAATGAAGAGGATTCCTTCAGTTTTGCAATCTTTGTGCATGCTCAAAAAAGCTTAAAAACGTCACAGAAAAGACGTTAAAGTCATAGACATGGGTTTTGTGACCTTCTCTTTCTAGTTGAGCAAAAATCGTGCTAATCGAGAGCAATTTTGATTTTCGTGAAAAATGCAAGCTTGAAAATCCGAAAAAATCACAAAAAACAAAATTGCTCTCGATTAGCTCGAAACTTGCTCAGCTAGAAAGAAAATGTCACAAAACCCATGTCTATGACTTTAACGTATTTTCTGTGACGTTTCTGGGCTTTTTTGAGCATGCTCAAAAATTGCAAAACTGAAGGAGTTCTTTTCATTTGCTCCTAACTCTCGATCTTTTTCGTTTCAACTCATGGGAAAAGTACCATTGAAATGACCATAATTTTCTCTATCACATAAAAATACTTCCAGAATTTTTTGTGACCCAACTCGAAAAAAGCCAATTTTGACTGATTTCTTCCGATTGCTTGTAACTCTCGAAGTTTTTCAAAGTAATTCATGCTGAAGGCACAGCCGTAAAGAGCATGGATTCCTCTTTCGAACATATATATTTTCAGCTAAATCCATTTAATGGCAAGGAAGTTATGGTTTTTTGAAAATGATGCGCAAGAACTTTCGGACCAACCTAATATATAGTTACCATGTACTCTATCTTCGGCGTAAGTCTTCCCGTAACCTTTCAAGCACTCTTCCGCGCATTCTGGTACCGGCAACGTTTCTTTATCTTTACAAAAATTATGTCCCAAATCCATATCTATAGAGACGTGATCACATGGAGGAAACATATACGGTTTGCACCCAGTCTAAAACCAGTAAGTCGGAGAGTGTCATAGTGATAGCACTGACACTGTCACCGTTCGATTGTATGGCCCTCCAGAACAAATTCCATGTGTATTCAAATAAATCCAGGCTTCTTCTCTCTCTCCTCCTTCACAGCTAAAACATGGAGATGACGCCTATTCTAAGTGCAATAGAGGCATTTAACGATATACGACGAAGTTAGTATGAAATATTCACTCTGAACATTTTTTCATAAATAATCAATTATAGAAATCTTACGGATCGCCGCCGTTCTTTCTGCAATCCTTGCAACAAGACAGGAGATCTGTAGCGGACAATAGCGTCTATAACAATAGTATATGCAAGATATCTATCGCCATATTTTGAACCTGAATTCTCTGTCCGGAAGCGATGCACAATCTATCTGACATGACCGAGGTTGCTGCGACTGCCCAGCATGATCCTAAAGTGTGAATGTTATTCTATGGCATAAAGTATCTGCTTTCTGGAGCACCTCACCGCAATTGCCCTGATCGCGAACAAGCCTTATGGACTTACAATTAGACCACATCTCACGCGCATCAAACCTGAATCGGTCCATTTTTTCTCGATAAAAACAGCCATCAAGCCTATTGTAAAGTCACCTGGGTGGGATAGTTATATTTTGCTCTGCCGCAAGCACAACCGGAACCTTCCTCAAAAGTGTTTTTTTATTCAGTTCCAAGTATTTCGGATCCATAAACCGTGGTTTGAATCCCTTTGTAGGGACGCCAGCCTTGAACAAATGTGCTTTAAAGAAGCGAAGGAGTGATCACTCGCAATAAACATTGCTCTATAACAATTCACCTTAAACAAGGATTGAGCGCTGTTGATATAATCAACAAACTCTTGCATGCTCTGTTGATCTGCAAAGTTGTGATGGTAAATATGGCCAGAAAATAGCTAGCGAAACTTGAATAAGTGGTCTTTTCAATAGCTTTTTGAACACGAAATTCACTGTACTACAATGTGAAGCTTATTGGTAGTGATTACATGTATGACAACTTTACCACACTTGTAGAACTTACAAAACGAGCTGGGCTCGACAGCCATGGCACCCACAGCTGCCAGTACGATGCAGGGTACGATCATCTTCAAAAGGAGTCTTCTTGCAAAGATGTAGAATCAAGAAAACACTTACCATTACTTGATGCTGATGTGCGGGGGTTAATGCATCAGAGGTGTCTTTTATACTATTGTTCAGGTTCAACGAACACATACTTCTTTTCGTCGCACGTTTGATAAGACAGCTAATTAGGATAGTTGCACTCAAACGTTTGCTTAAATTCTCAGTTTGTCGAAGCTAATCGCCAAAAAGGTTCTGCGTCATTGTGTTTTTGAGCTTTAGGATTATGCATTGTCTTAGGGTGTGGTTTAGATAAACGCGCCGTGATGTGTGATAGATAAACGGATTTGGTTCCTCTCTTTAGCTTAAGCATATGCCAGGGTAATATTTAAAAAAAAGAGAACTTTACTTCTCTTGTTAGAAAATCCTTAGGTCAGATATAATACTGATTAACGTGTCTTAAGCAGTGCACCTGTTTTTCTCTTTCCATTACCGTGATGCCTGAACCTTTGCAAAAATTGCTAGAATAACAGCAGACGCTCGCACACAAATCTTTTCACCTTCAAATTCGACAGTGCTTGAAAAAAGCGCAAAATCAAACTATAATGACAGTCGAGTTTCGAATTTTGAGTCTTGAGGTATTTACAGGGTTTAATGCGTCTTTATTCCATGCAAATCTTTGATCGAAGGCTTCCGAATTGTCTTGACCTTTGACTAGTTGATTATATCGCACCGAAATAGCTTGCTTATTACCATGTTATCGAGTCCAGCTGTGAAACAGAATTTTTGACGATTACTTAAAGCTACGGACAAGAATGTGTGCACGAAATTTTGGGGGCATTTGTAGCAGTTATGAAAAATAATGTTCAGCTCGATAACATATTTGGTGGAAAGAGTAGAGAAAGCTACGCCAAATACTTTTCAGAGTACTTCTTTATTATTACTATCTGCTTTGCTGGACGATTAGTTGACATAAAGCACGTAAAGTTCTCATTATTTTGTTCCTCTTTTCACCACCCTGAAAAAGTTGCTTTTATTTCTGATCCTGCAATCAGTTGAGATTGCGTATTTTGCATGGCGTGACTGATATGTTAATACCATCTTATAATTCTTATAATTGTCACCATGTGACGTTGCTAATTGCAGATTTTACTAATCACAGCTTCTACGCCTTAAATACAAATCGGACAATCATTTTTGTTGATTGACTGCAAAATTCAAATTTTCACGGGCGTATATATGCCAGTGCATGGTTCTGTAAGTCGAAGGACTGGGTATGCTCAAATGTTTCGTCTATACAGTTCAAGAACACAATAAAAGTACCATACTAGAGACTGAATGCAGGGCTCGGCGGTGGCTCACCGGGCAGGGTGGATATCGTTATGGGTTAAAAGCAAGGAAAACTCGTTTTGCTGAATCCTGAGCAGATTCTCGAAATCATGTGCCTTTCGCTCCAGTTCTCGGCCAATGATTTTGAAAAACGGAAAAAAGTCTGTTTGAGCAAGATAATCCGAAACTGGATTTTCGCTTGAAATCAAGCAAGTAAATTCGAAAAGGCCAACTGCATGCCCATCGACTCAACAAATTTCTGCGCCCTCCAGTTTAGAGCAAAACTTATCCCATCGTTACTGTCACATAAGTTATACACATCCATATCTCAAATTTCTCCCCCCCCCCCCCCCATCAATATGCTCTCCCTGCAAGCGCAAGAATTCGAAAGTGTGCTTCGAAATGAACAAAAGGCTCGTTTATAGCGAAGGAAAGGTAATATGACCCCAGTTTTGACTTGTAGATGCATAAAGGGGAGTTGGAACGATGTAATGAAAATGACGAATAAGTTATGTGAAATGGAGGGGCGAACAGTTTCCTTAGGTGGCTTCTGAGCCAACTGAAAAGTCACTGAAGAGGCTCTAGTTCTTGAACCTCGCTAAACTCCCACTCTCCGCCTAGTTACAGTCCTCCAGATATTGTAAATGGCGACTTTAATCCTGCTCCAAGTGCGCTATGCTGCGCGCCAACAGGATTACCGTCGTTATTCAGAATATGCCGCCAATTCGGGAAACACTACCAACAATGGCTTCTTCATCGTCTGTTTGATTGCTCTTTTGTAATTTGTCTAGTCCTCCTTGTTGTTTACATTCATTCGTGAAATGTTGTAGGTGTCGTATCTTTGTTTTTGAATTAACGACTTCGTATCCAAAAAATTGCACCGACTAGCTAACATACCTGGCATCGCTTGGTTTCCCTTGTCGCTCTCCATTTTTAAATTTCGTTCTGCCCCTAACTGTATTTAAAATCAGCAAGCTCACCCCTCCCTTCGATCAATTCTTACATTTACGAAAAGTAGGTGATTCAATAACCGAATAGGTAATTTTATTCATCAATGCTGCTTTCAGGTGTGCTCAATTAACCTTTATACCAACCGCCTAAAGCTTGCAGAAATTAATAGGGGCGATCGACAATTTTAGAAATAAAAATCGTAATCAGCATGCGCGTCTCCCATCCCGCCTGCACCGGCCATATTTCGTACCAGCTCTCAGTGCCTCAGCACAGTTGCAAGTATTTGGTAATTTGGTATTCGGTAATTTTGACAGCAAATATATTATTTGTAATCATAATACTCAATAATCCCACCTCCCTATCAAGTTTCAACACTCCAGCACAAGGTTTTCAAAAATATACAGATCTACAACAAAAAGTTCTACAACACCCGCCGGCCTGAAGGTGTTTGCGTGCAAAGTTTGGCCCGACCGGTTCAGAAATGAATTTTCATACCGTTTTCATGCAAAGGTACATACAGGCCCTCTGTGAGGCATGAAAAAATGCTCATAGACAGTCGCGTAGATTTCCGCTAAAAACAGTGTCTTCCTGTTCGAGATTGTGCGGTAAAATCTGCGCGTGTACAAATGGCTACGCTAAGATGCCGGCGTTTTGCGCTATATTCAACAGAAGCCGAGTTTTAAGGCAAACAGTGCTGACTCTAAAGCAGGTTCAATTGAACGAAAACTTAACGAATACGCAAATTTTTTTCGAGCATCAAACACGCTTCTATCTAGAAAACTTAATCTCAATGCTTTGGTACGAGCTGATCAGAGTGTGACTCACAGAAAAACACTACGTTTGGAAAGTACTGATTTCAAAATCATTTCGAGCTATCTGAGAAGATTAGTGCTTTCCTTTTTAAACCGCACTGGATGTAGCTTGCAGGAGACATTTCAAACTTCATGACTGTAGCTTCACAAAAAATTGCGGATGCGAAAGATTGCAGCTTTGATTAAATAAAATCTTCAAAATTTGTATTTGGAGCAAAATCTATTCTTAGGTTTCAGATCGATTTTCGTTTTGTGTTGCTAGACCTAGACTATGCTATTCATATAGTACTTGCGATTCTTTTTGAAAGTCCCGGAATTTCAAGATAAAGGGTGTTCGTATGACATACAGGGTGTCCCAAAAAGATGTGCACACTGTTTGTTTGTTAATAACTCTCTTGCTTTCATGTCTTTTGCTAAGCTTGAGGTACCATTCTTTGGAGCAAGATTCAACTTGAATTTACGGTATGGAGCGATTTAAACAGCTCTTCATTGCTGTAGGATTACGGTAGGAATTTCGAGGAGGATTTTAAGCCTTTGAAAGCGGTATTTTGCCTCAGAAAAAAAGCCAAACAAGCCAGAAACTCTTGAAGTGGGTTAATCGAAGTTGCTAATTCTGAATATGAAAATTGCACGTCAGTACACTGTTTCTTCATGAGTTATTTCAGATTTAAGGTAACAACTGATTTTCCAGTGTTCGTCAGAAATGTGAATACGCCATCAAGAAAGCTCGAAAAACTGGTGGAAAGTCATGTAGTGAAATCAGCACGCTTGAAAACCTTGCTGCACAAATTTTTAGATTTTTTTTTGAAATTATTTCATCAAAAGGCTTATTCCACATTGATGATGTATGCTGAAAGTCCTTACCGTGATCCTACAGTAACGAAGAGTGGTTGGTAATTCGCTCTATACTACAAATCTAAGTTGAACCTCGCTCTACAGAATGGTACCTCAAGCTCGGCAAAAGACGTGAAAGCAAGAGAGTTATTAACGATCAAACAGTGCGCACATTTTTTTGGGACACTCTGTATAATCGCACTTTGTATAAGAGCAGCGACCCTACGAGCCGCTAGCAAGCGAGTGGGAGCAAGTTATTAGATAAATGCTGTTCAAACCCATACAATTTTCAAATTGAGTTTCCACTTCATTAGCTTATGTATGACTAGCACCTGCTCTCAAAAGCGATTTCGGCTTTTTCTCAAAATTTGCTCGAAAACGGATAATACTATAATAAAAAGCGTTTAGTTCTGCGTGACGCTGTACAGTTCCCCCTCACAAGATATGTCTGCCTACACGCTTACCTTTTCGAAAAAAAAAAAGATTTCTGCAGAGCGATCGCGCTCTAAATAAGTTTAATTTCATCAATTTTCTCAGAATTTGTCCGACCAAAAAACGGATAATACTTATCAACGTGCTCACTCAACTTCTTGAAGAGATTTTTTCAAACTGTGCATATGTACTCATACCGTTCGGTTTTGTGTGATGTCCAGGTCGACATTTGCCCACAGATGTTATACAGCGTGCATTGTGAGAGAATGTGTTGAGTGGAATTAGCACTGTTATTTTCTTTCGAAATTTGCGTGATTGGAATATATGCGCTTTCGATCACGTAGTGAAGTGAAATCGAAGAGCCATACCGCTAAATAAGCAAGATTTCTGGCAACAGTCTCCCAGAGTAGAAGTTTAATGAGCTTTTATCGTACGTGAACATCGTAGAACACTTCAAAAATACTTTTGTCATGATCACCCCATATTTTGATACATTTGGTCCGCGGTTGCATACTTTCTCACTGCAATTACAATTCTCTCGTTGCCGCCAACCTCCGCTCTCGGCATCTGCTCCCTGTTGTCGTCATCATGACAAAATTCTGGGGAAATTCCGCGACTGGCATCTATTTGATATAACGTTATAGCCACACATGGAAGCGAACCAATCTAGCCGCCAAATTTTTTCGGTTTCGGGTTTATAGTATGAGAAAG